TGGGTGGTTGGGTGGCTGGGTGGCTGGGTAGCTGGGTGGTTGGGTGGTTGGGTAGCTGAGGGGCTGGCTGCTGATGGTCATCCTCTCCTTGTTCTCTTGTTCCTTCTTCTTTTCTCTCTGCCTGCTAGCCCTGCCTATCCTTTCTCCTGCCTTGCTATTGGCCATTCAGCTCTTTATTAGGTGTTTTAGACAGCTTCACAGCTAAACACATTTAAACAAATGCAACGTAAAAGAATGTAACACATCTTTGCATCATTTAGACAAATATTCCACACCATAAACAAATGTAACACAGCTTAAATAATATTCTACAACAGAATTGGAATTATTGCATACACTCCTGAAAAGTCTCTTTCACAGGAAATGGTGTGTTAGCCAGGCGTGGCTGTGCACACCTTTAATCCTAACACTTGGAAGGCAGAGGCAGGCAGATCTCTGTGAGTTTAGGATCAGCCTTGTCTACATCATGAGTTCCAGGCCAGTGAGGAACACATAAGGAGCTCTTGTCTCAAAAGAAAAAAGAAGGAATGCTGTGGGGTAGGACAGATGCACACACAAGCACACACACACACTTACATGCCTGCATGTATGCACGCAGTGCACATGCACACACACACGCATGCACAGAAACACGAAAACATTTGGTTCCCACCTCCCTGGCGCTACATGGAGTGTAAGCGGAATTGTGGAGCAGTACGGGACAGCCTCTGCCTTTGTATTTCCTTTACATGAAAGAGAAAGAAACATATATTTTTTTATTCTTCTATCATATATTATATCCGAACCGAAATTTCCCTTTCATCCACTCCTCTTGGTACCTGTCCCATCTCCTCTCTTCCTCAAATCCATGGCTTTGTTTCCCTTACATCTATCAAAGTGTGTATTTTGCCTGCATGTATGTCTAGCCAACAATTGTGCAGTACCTGAAGGTGCCAAGAAGGAGCACAGTAGGTGTTGAATTCAAGCTTAAATTTCTTCCCTTCTGAGACAATCAGGGCTTGGAAGAAACTCAGTGTCCA